GTCAAGAGGTTCCTTTTCGTAGGATCTTATTGCGCGAATACCCGATGGAGCAGAGTAAATTAGATTCTTCCTTGGCATAATCTCTTTCCTTCTGAACAGGTAGTGGTTTCACGTTCATTAGTAGTCCTTTCATGCTTCTGTCTGTTTTTCGTATGATACTCACTTTGATCCTGAGCAACAAGTGAGCCTGTACATCTCATGGATCACTTACGGTTGAAGAGCTTCTGGCGCACATTATATCGCAGTCGACGCCTGTGCTCAGATAGGGTGTGCATGGTAACTGCAGAAGGACTGCACGATTGTGGCTCCTGCGTAAAATTTCACGGATGGTGGAGCAGATAGAGCACGTTCTCGTTTCAATTTCTGTCGAGCTCTGCAAAGGACTGCACCAGCAGAGGTTAGAGCAGTGTCAGTATTGAAAAGAGTGTCTGTTCCGAGTAGTCGTCAACGCAAATCTCTTTTCAAGAAAAGTGACCGTACTATTCACAGGGATCATAACTAAGTTCGCCCGTTGTCGGCCGAGCGACGAGATAGGTTTCAGCGAGGAGAAAGGGCTGGTAGTTGTTCAGTCATTGTAGTTCACTTTTAACGATGGTTAGAATCAACATTTCTCAAAACTTTTCAGAAATCCTAATATTAGCCTGCTTGATATTTACTGCGGCAAAATTTGAGCGATGGTTAAGGTTCTCACTGAAAGTGCAAAAATCCTGGGCGAGAAGAGTACTGGTGCGGAAACTGATCGAAAATTAGCCGCAGTAAGAGATGCTTGTCCTGAACCAGTTGGAAAGAAGGATTTGCAGGAGCCAAAGCAGGAGTGAGTGTTAGCTAAATCATTCATAAAGAAATATTTATTGTTAACTGAACACATATGTTGGACATTCAGACAGTCCTTATTGGAGGTCCAGCAAAGAAAAAGGAATATGCCGTTCAATTCGTCAGTGTTTAGCATTAGGAAGAATCGGTGAGGAAATAAACTTTCCATCAAATACAATACTGGCACGCTTCCTGCTATTTTCAGATCTCTACCCGATCTGCAATCTATTGCAGACCATAAAAGTGGTTATCACTCGGACATTGAAGGGAAGCCAGAGAAGTCGTCCTCGAGAAAGTAATCTTTTTTCTATTGCTTGCAGTTCATTTATGCATCTGGGATCCTTTGTTTATCTGATATCCTTTTAATTTCGTAATTTTTTGTATTTACCTGCAGAAATATCGGCTCAATTTTTGTTCTTTAATATATGAAATTTATATTTGGATTAAGGTTCACTTTCAATGCCTTCCTTTTGTTTTACTTTGTTATTCGTAGCAAGCTTCATGACTTCCTTCAACAATTTATTGGTTCCTCAGATTAGTTGCTCTTCAGCTATCTATTGCGCAATGCGCATCTGAATGCCTAGCTTTTACATCCAACTTATTTTTGTAGCCAACCTGTAATTGCAAAAGATTGGTCCAAAATAGAGATCGTAAGCTGAGCTAAGGTTGTGTTCATATGTGTGATGTAATCTCCTGAGTGAGTTGCATTCCAACAAAGGGGTGTGATTTCATTTATTTTGCCTTCAGCTACCAGAATACGGTTATTTTAGATGACATCTATCCTTGTTCAGGTTATCAACAAAGCCACTACGGCATTCTCAATCGCAAGCATTCGACAAGTCTTTAAAGCGTGAAAGGTCGGTGGGCAGTGTCGCTGTGGCCACAAAGGCTCCAACCCAACGACGAAAGAAGAGTCGTGTTGCTTTCCAACCTATCTGCATTAAAATAGAAGTGAGTGCCGTAAATCAACGCTTTTACTAATTTGGAGATTCTATTCATTTTTATTAGGGGAAGTATTATATCATTACTTTAATAAAACATTTTGAAATGTCTTATTCCAAAACGTTCTCTGTTAAGTAGATTCCTTCAAGAACCAATATTTTCCATTCAGAACGAATCGTCAGATTCCGAATGTTCATCAATGTCGTCGAGTCCAGCGTACTCTCTTCTCGATTCACGAGATGTGGACCGAATTGCCGATGGTGCTTTGTCTGATTCAGAAGTTGATAGGCATAGAAATACTCCGGAGCCCGTGAGATTATTTATATCAATTGCATACTAACAGACGTTTCTATTCACGGAAGTCTAATCTAATGCATTTCAGCATGCGAGTGATGTTACTGACTGGAAATGGGGTCAACTTCCTGAGACCAGGGAGAATAAGCTCAAACAAGAACAGGGCAAAACTGCAGATACCCTGAAACCGAAGGTAACTGCTTGAAGCTACTTAGAATAAGGCACCTGGATTGACTGAATTGAACTGAGGAACTTGAAAGTAAATCGGCGGGAGCGTGCTCTTGTCAGGGAGGATTACTTTCGGTTTATTGATAATACCACCATTTCGGCTGCACTTTGTCTTCCACCACGAAAGTGCTCCTCTCTGATGAAAGTTCGGACCTGTTTCTGAAATTTCCTTGTTACAGGGAGAATCATCAGGTTGGACGTGGTTTCCATGGGGTCATCGTTCGTCGCCTGCTCCTGCACCTCCTGCAGAGGAAGGCATTTCATTGGACGAATTATTCAGTGCAGAAGCTGCGTCAGATCCTTCGAAAATAGCCAAATATCTGGGGAAGGCGAGTAGTACAGCGTGAGTTGTCTCTCCTTTTGGAGTCTTCCCACTTTTTGTATTCGTACCTACATGCTTTCAAGTGATTCTACGATTTGGTAGTGATTGCTGTTCTGCGTGGTAATGACGCCGTTGCATTAATTGTTTTTTTTTTGTGTAATCCGAACTTAATAGGTTTCTATTGCAATATCTACACTCCGCAAATCCTGTTCAGAGTCAGCATCGACAGTGGTCACGCTTCTCGAGGGACATCTCAGCCTTCTAGCCCTACTGCCCGTTCAGATGATTCAAACTTCGCAGATAAAGTAACGGCTACAATTCTAGGTGTATGAGGCTTAAATTAGCTTAGCAACTTTCAGACTCCTACGCAGGAAGCTACACCGATAGTAGAGCCTAGGGATAGTTCTCGGACTCGTAATGTGAGCGATCAGCGAAGCGCTGTCAGTAGCGATGACATATTGTGAGTTCGATCTATTTGTTCTCTCTAGTGTCGAAATATCACTTCGGTTTCCTTTTTTATTTATTCCTTATTGTGGTTCTTTAAGCCCTTTGAGTGAAGACGAGTTGGATGAACCTCGTCCATCTTCTCGTCCTTCGTACATGCTGTCACTTCGTCTCTCCTCCGAAAAACTCAAAAGTCTCGGCTTGGTTCATGGAGCAAATGAGTGTAGATTCAGTATTACAACTAAATTCCAGGTATTTTGCGTATATAATTTTAGCTTCAGTATACCTTTCAATGTGAGATTTTCAGGGCACATCGTGGTGCAGCTGTAACATATATCTTTATAAGTGGTATGAGCGCATTGTGATATCTGACATCGATGGTACAATCACAAAAAGTGATGTGCTCGGTCACGTCATCCCAGCCATTGGTGGAACATGGGCTCATGCTGGAGTTGCTGAGTTATACACTCGTATCAAAAATAATGGGTACTTTTTTAGCCTATTTTGCACGATTGCTCTGTTCATTCCTTGCATGTTTTATTTTCCTATTTTCCCATTGGAAAAAAGGGTTTCGTTTTCTTATGAATCCATCAGAAGAGTGCCAAAGAAAGAGTGCCTTTTGGAATCGTGTTGTGTTCTCGTTAATTCAGTACCATTGTTTTGTTCAGGTACAAGATGGTCTATTTGTCATCTCGAGCCATTGGTCAAAGTCACACGACGAAGCAATATTTGAAGAGTATTGCTCAGGACAGCAAGCAACTACCTGATGGTCCGGTGCTGCTGTCACCCACAAGTGTTCTCGTTGCTTTCAGAAGGTTTTGCACTTTCGTGAAATATTTCTTTATCAGTCCTCAATGCTCCTTTGCCAGCCACTCACTCTTTCCTGACTTGTGGAGCCAAAGCAAAAGTTTTTGTTGTTTAGGCTGCGACCTCTGTTATAATCGAGCACTTTGAGTGTTTAATTATTGCCCATTTATTTAATATGCACTGGGTCCTGCAGTCTTAAAAGATAAAACTACTTTTTTTAGCGTGCCCTATGGCATAAGACGTGAAACTCGTAGTCATAATTTAGGTGTGGGTTGCTGTGACAAAATGAGAATATTATTTGCGCGTAGGAATAAGAAAGTTGAATGCTTTGATTCTAGGGAAGTGATTGAGCGACGACCTGAGGAATTCAAGATAGCTGCTCTAACCGATTTGAAAAATCTCTTCCCTGTAAAGCAACCATTCTTCGCTGGATTTGGTAATCGTGAAACGGTACGGTTCATATGAATTTGTTCATAACATGCTTATAATGATGTGTGTTTCTTTACCGGTGACTGTGGTCCGTGATGTCTAGCAGAACCTCTTCCTTTTGAGGATGTAACGTCATATCGAGCGGTTGGTATCATGCCGGCGCGGATTCTCATCATTGATCCATCTGGCCGTGTACGACGATCAGACTCTGTTGGTTACGTAAGCAGTTACTCGTCAATGGCCACAGATACCGTCGACTATTTGTTTCCACCCCTCACAAAAAAGTAAGGCTTCGTATTTGAATCTCGGTTTTAATAGAATAAGACTGAAACTCTAGATGTTCTATATTATCAAGTAGTTACGTAGTTTCCGAACAATTTTACACCAGCAACGGTAAAATCTTCTGGAGTCGCAGTATGTGTGAGATCTTTCATTGACTTTCGCATATTGGGAAGGTCAGCTAACTCATGCGCTCCTTGCTTGTAACGTCTGCAATTGGCTATGAATTCATTGTTGCAATTGGTACTTCGTGCTTCAACTTTCAAGAATTACCTAGCTTTAAGGCTGTTAGGAAAATTAGTCTGATTGAGTGCGAGAACACGCGCCCTAGAACGCGGTGTACAGACCAGAAATGACTTCTTTTCTGCGGCATTTCTTCAGAGTAGAGCGCCAAGCGTTGCCTGCGCTCTAGTGACTGATTGGCGGTGGTTAGTTTTTTTGATCTGGTATTTGTTATTGTGTTATTCAGTTTTTTATTTTTTTAATTTATTATTACTCATTTTTATTGATTTGTTATTTTCTTCTTAAACTACTATGGTATAATGTTGCTAGCGTATATCATTGTGGGAGCTATACGCTGCTCTACTTAGAAAATAACTTGCTCTAACGCGAACACCGTCAGCGGTGACAATGCTTGTACGCTCAACGCTCGCCGCTGTACTCTGATTATTTATCCACATACTAGCAGTCCACTGATTTTCGATATCTTCGCCACAATTATTGGAGATAAAGCAAGGATCGTTTTCAGTGCCAAAGGTGAAACCGATGTGAGAATGGAGCCACTGCAGCCAACATGGACAAATCCACTTGAATGCAGGTAAATACAATAGGAGTTCAGGAGGTTTGGTTGGTTACTTCGGATTTTGCTTTTTGATGTGTTTGAACTATGTTCGGATACTTTCAGTTCGTTTACGCATTGGAAACCCGAGAAGAATGAATCACTCAGTGACACTGATCTAGCCGCTTACGAAGCGAATCGTAAAAAATCGACAGTTGAAAAGAGCAAGAAAAAATAGTTTGTTCGTAAGCATTCTAGCGGGTAGGACTTTAGATGATCGATACGGTTATACAAAGTTTTTCCTATTGTCAATACTTGGTCCAGTTAATCTCGTCTAGTATTCTCAATCACGTTGTCGGCACGATAATCCTCTACTAGAATTCCAGTTTCTTGGTACTGGTGTTTTCGCTCACTATATGGGTTTCACATCTGTAATCATCTTGCAAAGACGGCATTTAAATACATATGTTGAGTATTATTTCACTGCTATGGGTTGCCTATAACTCATTCATACACTTGCTCTCAAAAATGTTGCCTCGTTGATCTTCTCTTTCGCAGTTGAATTCGATTTTCCATCGTTTTCGGCCTTCCTCAATCGCTTGACTTGTTCCTTGGCAAGCATAACTCAAAGCTCAATTCTTTCCAGTTCTCATGGCGTCTTATTTTTACTGTTTCAAATCTCGCCATCATATGTCCACTCTTTTCAATCCCAAATTCCTCTTCAGGTTGTTATAAAATTAAGCTTCATCATTTTAAACTGTGAACGTCTGGTCACACAGGTTACTGTTTTGCTAGTCTAGCTGTTCCTTGTTGACTGCTTACACAAATTGTTCTCGTCAATGTGTTATTTTACTCGTAGTGTTCGATGAAGTCTTAGAGGTATCTGTTTCATCGTGGTTTCACGATAGGCGACTTCCATTTTCATGTATGTCTACTCTTCAACAAAAAGATTGGCGAGTTTCACAATGAGTAGTTGTGTTTCAGTGTTACGACTGAAAAAGTTCCCACTTATCGGCAATGAATACATTTTAATATTCTTTGTGATTTCAATACAAGCTTTACAATTGAACTATTGCGTTGTGAATTTGGTTTGGGTCATGACCAATTAGAAGGGGCCGAAGTTTTAATTCGTAGTGAACTCCATTAGAAGTGCAATAGCAAGGCTGGGGAAACGAGGGGGAAAACCTGATCAACTGTTGGAATTAGTCTTGGTGTAATCGGAAAATTTTGTGCGCATATGAATTTTCCACACAATTCTCGCTCATCCTCGAGCTAGGGAGAAGGAAAGGTGAACGTAAGTAAACTATTGTCAAGCTGATGGACTGCACGCTCCAACGTACCAGCTGAATTGTGTGGGCACACTTTCTTCCATGCGTAGATGTTAATTATTTTCTGAGGAGATCATATTTCTGATCAGTTGTTACTGTGCTTAGTTCCGCGCACACACTGTAAGGGCTGGTTTTTATTGGTGATTGTTTGATTTCCAGACCATACTCGGAGCATAATGTGTGAATAGATACAATGTGCACTCACCAAGTTCCATTACACGGGCTGATGGTGAGTATAGGATTTTTCGAGTTTTCGTTGAAGGCCAGTTCACGATAAAAGTGGCTTCTACGATTTCTCCCTATGACGAATCTTTCTATGATGAACCCCCGAACCTCAAGGATAGTACACAGGACGATGTCGGATCAAAAACAGGGAACTGGAAGCCTTGAAGATTATCATTAAGCGAGAACGGGAGAAGTTCGTCATTTGGCTCTCCTAAAGTCGGCGTCGAACTAATTAGACACTGCTGTAGTGAAGCACTACGAATCGCCTCCACTGAGGGTTCTCTCTCATCGGAGGAACCCAGCCCGTTAGCGAAGAGGTCACATACAGGGCGTTCTCGGGTGGCGGATAGGGGAGTAAATCACCGACCAAAAGTCGCCCGGCCTTGCCCAAAGATGTAGGTGGATTCAGGGAATGGACTCACTGTTCTGCTTCGCTGGGCCGGTATAGGTTTTCCCAGGTTTATCCACGCATACGTGTGTGGAAAGTCTGCGAGTGCAGGTAAGTACCCTGCCCATCGAATCAGCCAAAAGCTTGCGCTCAGGTGAGCGAAAAGTACACGGAAGGCGATAAGTGGATTTCTCCGGAAACAAAGCCTCTCGTCCACTCTGGGGCAGTCTGGCCAGCTACCCGGGTCAACCCAGTCCCCGCGTTCGAACATGGCAAGCCACTCGTGGCTACCTATATGCCAAAAACAGTAAAATAAATGGTCCTCATTCCCTTGAACCTGAGGGAGTCCAAATAAGGCAGCATTGAGGAGGACGTTCGGTAGAAGCCATAAAAATTTCAGGGTCATAAAAGGCAGCCTAAAAAGTCTAAAGAGGAGAGGACTATGTTGGCGATCCGTAGTTTCAGTGCATGCTTGCGTAGGAAGCGTGTATCGAAGATCTGATGAAGCAAGGTAGAAAGATCAAGTTCGACGCCTTCGAGCTGACCTAGACGAGAACGCAACGCCTATTGCACGCCATTTCCGAGATTGGAGAAGAACTGTTCCTCAAAACGTCGACAGCAGAGGCGGAGAGGGGGGACTGAATCGTACTTTCCACGAGGTCATAATTGGTGATTTCAATTCCAAGATTGGTCCCAGAAGAACGGCTGAAGAGCTTCTCATCGGGTCTCAAGGAATGGAATGGAATGAGCAGGGTAAAAGCTGGCCGAGTTTATCATGTTAAACCACATCATCATTCATGGTGAATCGCAGTTCCAAAAGTCCTCCCGTTTGCGATGGGCATCCGAGTCACCTGGGTGACACTTCCATGATGAAATTGGTTACATCATCTCCAACCAAATGTTTTGCCTGACTGACGTCACTGTTGTTCCAAAGTTTTACACGGGATCAGACCACCCGTCCGCGCTAGATTCTGCGTTTCATTGCGTGGAGAGAGAGCTGCGAAATTCAGTGAGGCCCCAACATTGTTGTCAACTGGGATCACTTCGCTTCACTTACGAATACGTGGGAAGATTCCGTTTGTGAGAACATCGACGGAGAGTGCAACCGACTTGTCGAACATCTTCACGGTAGTGCCAGGGAAGCAGAGAGTCTGAAAGATGCCAAGAAACGTCTTTCCCTGAAGAATTTCGAGCTGATACGCCAGCGGAGAATCTCATGATCTTCAGTCAATAAACAACTAACGTCCAAAGTTGCGGAGCTGTCCATAGATGCTTAGCGAAAGAGGTAAATGTGAATGAGAGAAGAGCAGCACTTTCAGCCGAGGCCGCCGGGTTTCAGAAGAGCATTCGCAAGGCCTGCCAGAGCTTCAATTATAAAACCAAGATGGCTTCCCTTCGTCATGACAGAACAGTTACTGAATCTTGAAGGACAGTGGAGAAGCTCGTGTACCACTTCTACTCGGATCTCCTCGACAGCCGACTATCTGCATTCCTACCATATTGTGCAAGACCCATATGTCGTCCCTTCAGTTTCTCCTCACAAAATTCAACATGCTATCACGACTATGAAGGCACGGCACCCGGTCCACTAACAGTACAGAATTCACGCGGTACCTGTCGGAACGCAAAGTGCCCATTGTGAAAAACTAGCAAGACCGTGTTGCTGTATAAGAATGAACATCCAGACGACATTAGTAATTATTGCCCAATTAACCTGCTGCTGTAATCTATAAACTTTTCACACGAGTTATCCTCAACAGGATTGGCAGAATATTAGATAAAGGACAGCCATGCGAGCAAGCAGGGTTCCTGAGCAGAGACAGTACAATCGACCACTTCCACATACAATCGATCAGGCTCATTGAGGTGTTGCGGTAGTACAAAATGCCGTTATGTCTCACATTTATCGATTTGAAGAAAACTTCGATACCGTTGAGATAGAAGCGGTAATTGAAGCTCTGGACAACCAGGGGTTCCTACTCAATATATAAGGGTTGTCTCGTAAGCTCTAAAACTTCACGACTGGGGTCTCGCCATCTTATGAAGAAGTCACCATCAACGTGAAGAGAGGGGTTCGACAGGACTATACCATCTCGCCCAAACTTTTTAGTGCCGCTCTCAAGAACAACAGGTGCCAATGGAATGAGAAGGCATGGTAGTGAAGGTCGGCCGTTACTTACATCATCTCCGCTTTGCAGGTGACATCGTGCTCATAACACCTAACATCGAGCAGGCGGAACAAATGCTGGTCGAGTTCGACAACGCTTGTGGAAAGATCGGACTACGACTGAACCTTACGGAAACGATGTTTATGAGAAACAGGTTTGTACCTGATGCTCCTTTCACGCTCGACGGAACGATCATTTCTGAACGCTTCAGCTTCTTGTATCTAGGAGGGGGAGGCATTCAAGAACATCGAGAGTATAGTGAAGAAGACAAGAAATATCCGGCTCTGCGCTCACCTTTTCGAGCACTGCGGTCCTTCCTGCTTTGACACACGCTTCAGAGACGTAGACTCTATGGAAGCAGGATGAGCATGCAGTCAGCGTCATTCAACGCGCTGTGGAAGAGAGGATACTCGGAACTTTCCTATTTACGCTGCAGAAGCGGGACCGGAGTTCCGAGCTCCGTCAACACACGAAGATAAGGGATGCCGTTTCTTACACCAAGAAATCGAAGATCAGGTTTGGCGGACACGTAATGTGATATCGTGATGACCGTTGGACGCGGGCGGTTACTGGCTGGACTCCGCGGGTCGTAGAACGGACACCAGCGCAATGATCAGACTTCTTTACGAAGTTGAACGAAAGAAATGGTTTGCCCCTTGCTCCTCGAGCGACGATGACCCTCTGGACTACTCTGGCTCGCGACAGGGACGATTAGCTGCTTCCAAACTTCAACGATAACCGACGTGCGTCCGTCCGTCACTTGCGTGCGAGCGACGGCGGCGCTTGCCACTTGTACATAGACAACGCTCGACGCCGATGGATCACTTGGCGCCCGCTCAAAAAAATCGATGATTAACGGGACGACAGGTGATAAGGCGATTACATATGTTCATAATTCCACTTTAATGAAGAAGGTAATGTCAGTAGGTGGCGGCCGCACCTTCAGGGATTTTTGTGAACGGTTCGTAGCTTAGGTAGGAGGGACGTCGGTGACGTCAGATCAGCACACAAGTGAGTCAATATACGAGCAACAGCGTTGTGAATCGATCAAGGTCTGAGTCACGAAATGTGTGAGACGGAGAACCTATAGAGTGATTGTCGGGAATTCCGAAAAGGGTTTTCACTCATGACTACCCACCATAAAGTCGCGCTCATTTCCAACCGCGTAGCAGTCTGCGACTGCTCATCAACAGCACTTCTAAGGATCTAACCCATCACTTTTGTCACATGCACGATGTCTCCAACTGCATTTCACATATACGACGCATTGAAAAAGGTATTGGCCAAGGATACGATGGATTTGGATGGGATAAACGCAGTAGACGCATCTCACCCCGAATTTTTATGGCGAGCGGTAATGGTTTTGCAGGAAGTTCCATATCCTTCCACTGGGAATTCGAGTCCATCTTTGTATAGCGCGACTAGGGGACGAAATATCGGTCCCTTTGCAAATAAGCGCGGCAAACTGCGCGGCGAATATCACTCAATACTTTCCTTAAATTGACCAAATTTATGTGCTTAGGACTTCTCCGGGCTTCGCCGATGTTAAGTGTTCATGCTTGAGGTCTTGATGATAAACGCCAGAGTCGTTCAAATCGCCGCGAATTCCATCGCGCGACTTGCCAAGTCGCGCGACTGCTCGTGATCGAGGGGCATGTGCTGCAATTGCAGAATTTAGTCTGAAGTCTGTGCAAGTAAAGTCCACAAGCGGTTGAAGATTTCTGCTTAAATGGTTGTTTTTGTTAGGGCACCTCAAATTAGTTTATTATTCAAATAATTTCTGATCTGGCTCGGTTATTTTCTTCCTAAGATGGCTTTTACAAGGAGCTGATCATATTTCTTAAAAATCTATTTTCGCTTGAATCTCAACGCTGTTGAAAACTCTTGTTCCGAATCACTCGTACTATTGTGGAAGATGTTTACGGTAGCTATTCTGACCAATTGTTTCGTTCTTCTGCACAGGATAACTCACTGGCACTTCTCTGAAACCAGTATCGTTTAAAGCAGTATTACACGGTCTACCCAATACGTTTTCTTTCGTTCTCTCCGTGCGAGACTAGCTTTTGTTTGCTTGTGGTGAGTGTACAACGTGACGGTGGTGCGATTTTCGAANTGCTGTCTTCACCTGATTGCTATGCTTCAGCACCTTGCCAAACTAAACATAGAACGCTTACAGTGTTCCATTTTAGGTTGGGATAAGCCGCACATCAGGCGGTGTTGTGTGAGGTTAAAGATGGTGGAGAGGAGAGGGATGTTTAAACTTTCCGTTGTAATACTCAACTTCGAATTTGTTTTGAGTTTCTTGTAATCCTATGATTGAAGTTCGTAGTTAGTGTTGAACTGTTATGAGAAATTTAGAAGCTCAAGTGCACGTTTCGCGAAGTATTATGTTGGCCGGAAAGTCTCCCGCCATTGAATTTTCAAAAATATTTCAAAAACGAACTAACTTCGGAATCAGAGGTATGCACCGTCAGAGTACAACTTGTCGCCAACGTTCTGGCAGCTTGTCGGTTGCTTCCTCCCAGAAGCACGGGGGCTGGGACTTGAAAAAACCGTCGATTGCTTCCCTGGTGTCGTCTTCAATCTCGAACTGCTTCCAGTTCAGGAAGCGTTGGAGTTGGCTAAAGAGCCAGTAGTCGGAAGGTGCAAGGTCAGTGCTGTAGGGAGGCTGACGGATGACAAGCCAGCCGAACTTCCCCAGCTCGGCTTGAGTTGCCTTCGCAGTGTGTGGTCGAGCGTTGTCGGCTCCGCGTCCTCGTGTCCGATGAATGTTGGCTTTGAGCTTCTTCAGCTGGGTGACGCAGGCAGTGGCGTTGATGGTCTGCCCTTTCTCAAGCAGCTCCCAGTGCTCGATACCGCGTCGTGACCACCAACACGATAGGAGCACTTTCTCACCTCATTGGGGTGGATGTCTATCTTTGGGACGGTTGTGGCTCTTCTCCCTTGTTGACACACTGCCGTTTCCTTACAGGGTTTTTGTAGAGAACCCACTTCTCATCTCCAGTGATCAGCGTATCGAGGAACTTGTACTTCTTCTGGAGAGTGAGGAGTGAAGTGCAAGTGTCGAACCCTCCTCATGATGTCGTAGTCAGTGAGGTGAGGAATCCAACGGCCAAGCTTTGCGACTTTACCAATCTTCTCCAGCCCACATTCAACAGTTGATTGGGCATGGCCGAGCATCGCTGCAAGTTCCCTAGTAGTGGCGTACGGATTCTCTTCCACGG